AACCACTGTTAGTTTGACCCAGCTATCCTTCTCCTTGGACTATACCACTGGACTTTTAAAGTTGCTTTTATGTCACCTGCCTGGTCCAGAAAACTTGTAGTTTTCAAACCTTCTCAAAATAAACTATTTGTCTGACCTGATTCCACATGAACTTGGACAAATATCACCTTAATGGTACACTATTGTTATAGGCTTTACTTCTGGACTTATTATTTTAAATATTTATAATAATAATGATAATAATAATAATTCATATTTTGCAGCAACCCATAGCTCTTGGGGCACTAAATTCTCTTTTCCCTTATGTTTGTGTTGTCATATTGAATTTTTTAAAATAGTTCCAAAACCTTGGCATTTATCCTTGTTATATTTCCTCGTGGGAATATTCTCCATGCATTATCTTTAAGAAACCACCTATTTGAGGAAAAGGCTCATGAACTAGAAAAGACATCACATCATCTGCACTTTCGGTAAATACCCTTGTTGCCTCAACTTAACTAACAATTATCCTGTTTTTTTCACATAGAAGCCCTAAAGAATTTTAAGAGTAAGCTGTCTCCTTATGAGCAAAGTGAAATCCTGGGCTACACAGAGCTATGGTTCCTGGGGCTTGATGCTGAGAAACTCAATGTGGCTCCAGAGAAATTCAGCAAGACAAGTTTTGATGATGAACATGGCTCCTATCTGAAGGTGATGAGGGAGGAGGTCATGGTGACCTCAGGTGGCTTGGGTGCAATAGAGAGTATGGAAAGGAAAGCAAAAGGGGATATTTTATAATGTTTTGTGTTGATATGACAGGAACTAGACATTCCAACAGATGCTAATAGGTGCTAAACCAAATAAACACCTTATTTAAACCTGAAATTTAGTATGCAAAATCTTCTAACAGAATGGTGATTTTCTTCAAGGGTATTTGGGATAACAAGTTTGCATCCTGAGTGAACTCTCACAGGCTATTCTCTTGCACTGTCCTGGACCCCTTGGAAAAGATCAGACTGGAGTAAGATGCACTTGCCCCTCAATCTCCCTTTTTGTCTCCTCCACACAAGCCTATTCATGGCTCCTTTTGTGTTTTATAGCAGATGTCATTCCCTCCACAGATAAGAATAGTTTTTGTCACTGTAGTGTCCCTCATGCACAGTGCTTTACTTCATTCCATTTTTCAAAAATTGATTGCAGAGACTCCTCTTTTTCTGACTGTACCTCTGGGGATCCCAGGGTAATGCCTCTTTCTCACCTGAGGATGAAATCTGGACAGTGACCCCCTCTTCTGAGGATGCCTGCATGAGTGACACTTAGTCCACCAGGCTGTGAGCTGTCTGCACTTTCCTACTTCTGGAAATTCCATCACAACTTGGTTTTAGGATATGAATCTTTGAGGGCTTCATAGAAGAGATAAATTTTCTTAACATCATGTTTCTCAAGTTTGACTGTGCACACAAATCACTTTGGGTTTCTGTACAGGTGCAGATTTGTGTTTAGCAGGTCTGGGGTGGGATCTGAGATTTTGCATTTCTGAAAAGCATCTTGGTGAAGCCTATACCACAGGTCCTTAGGTAACACTTCTAAGAAGCAAGGATTTGATTTTATCACTCACTCTTCATCTAGAACCCTGGTTTTTAACAATTTTAGGTCAAGGATCCCTTTGAGTATCTTCATCCCAGAAACATTAAGCTGTGTATGTGCAATGCTTTGGGGCATTAATGGGTCCTTGGTTAAGAATCTTCAATATAAACATTTTCTCCAATTCAACCACATGTCCACAACCCCTCACTCCTTGCTCCTTCCTTTGCTTTGCCCTACCTGAGTCTAGAGTCTCTAAGAAATTACCTGGGGTGTCAATACTACCTTTATGGGAATTCACTGGAACTCAGTTCTTTAGTCCCAAATCTTAGAGAAGTATGATTTGCATGGGGAGAGAGGGATAATGTGCATTCTCTGTAAGCTCCAATTTTTATTCCTATTTTATTCCAGCATATACACAAATATATAATTCCTAAACAAATGATAGCTACATTCTCACAACAAATGTTAATTGTAAAATTATTTACTGAGCACCTATCATAAGCTTGGAATCTATTAGACTCTGAAAATACAAAGGGAACTATCGTGAGTCAAGTAAGCACAACCAAAGTCCAAGTTGACATGTAAGCCAATAATTATGAGGCAACCAAACTGATGACATGAAGAAGATAAATGTAAATGCTTGAAAAATATATGCCAAATTTGTGCAGATTCTGTCCCATTTTCATGAAAGACCTTTTAGTCTAGACTAACCCTCTCTGATGTATCAGTAAAATGTTTTACATGCTCAAATTTATGGTGTTGATTCTTCTTTGTGAATAATCCTTTATCCTCAAACACACAGTCACAAACCAACCTGAAAACTTGTACACGCTTATCCCTCACCTCTTTCAAATTCATGTGTAATTGTAGAAAGCTGAGATCAAGAGCCTGATGACCTTAGAAATCATCTTATCCAGATTCTCATCTTCATCTTCACAGATGCGGTCACTCTAGCTCAGAGTACATAAGTGACTTATTTGAAGCCACTTAGCTCAAGTCTTTAATGGAAAATTTCCTGTGGTTTTAACTAAACACCTGGTTTCTTGCACAAGGATAGTCATGGGTGATTCTGGCTCTTAGAAAATATTACTCTCACCAAGAAGTCTGTATTAACTTCAGAAGGGGACTAAATATGAATAAGTATAAGAGAGGAACAAATCTGGTCAGGAAGGAACAGAACAGGCATAAAGCCTTCTCTGATTGATAGAGGCACATCAAGGGTCAGAGATAGAACTCCCCTAAAAGGGAGCTGATGTTGAACTTGAAGAGTCATGAAATGTCCAAAATAGAAAGAACTTTCAGTTTTATCCAGCCCCTTTACTTTTTAGGTCCCAAGAAAGACATGCAGGAAACCAAAGGGCTGGGACTAGCACCCAACATTTCCAAAGACTAACTAATGTTCTTTTCACTGCTTGACATGGATGGAGCCTGTGGAACTAACTGCCCCTGGCACCACATGGGTGGTCTTGGATCCAGGAGATCACCTAATCACTACAGTAACAGAAGGAAGGGTGGGAGTTCAGAACCACTCCCCTCCAAGGAGTGACCCATGATCTAGGGTCTGGCTCTTTTCCTCACCTCTGGCCTGGCTTCTGCAGGTCCTGCATGACCACATTGCCTACCGCTACGAGGTTCTGGAGATGATTGGAAAAGGGTCCTTTGGACAGGTGGCCAAGTGCTTGGATCACAAAAACAATGAGTTGATGGCCCTGAAAATCATCAGGAACAAAAAGAGGTGTGGCTCCATGGATGACATAGGCCATAGAAGATGGATTGCCTGGCTTGTAGCTGCTTCAGGACTCCAAACCTTTCTGCCTCTGCCTCTTCCTCTTATATTTCTCTTCATTCTCCCTTTCCTATTTCTCTCTCTTCATGTCTGAGTCCATGAAGGGGCAAAGCGGAAGTAAGAGTGTGGAGTTATTAGTGCTTTCTGCGGTGTTAGACATTTCTGTTGGGGTTGTGGTAGGGTCTGAGAAAACGGGCTAATTGCTGCACTATGACATGATACCTGTGTTTTCTGTCCTCATTCCCCACCCTCCCTGCCACTCCCCAATCACCTCAGATTTCACTACCAGGCCCTGGTGGAGCTGAGGATCCTGGAAGTCCTCAGAAGGAAGGAAAAAGACAACAAGTACAATGTGGTACACATGAAGGACTTTTTCTACTTCCGGAATCACCTCTGCATCACCTTTGAACTTTTGGGGTCAGTCTTTTTGATTCATTTTCTTTTGAAAAGTTGCTTAAGGGAACTTGAAGAAAAACTTTGAAGTCATAAAACTAGATTTTTCTGGGCGTGAATATCTAGTGACTAGTGTAGACATAGCAGTCACACAGTTATCTAGCAGGTCCAGGAGTGAGGAGAACGGGACCCAAAACAGAGATCTCACCCCATTCCTCAGTAAACCTGTTATCTGCCAGCATACTCATGTTGTGCTTCCCTGGTGCTGAGGACTAAGTACTGAGTAGGTGGAAAGTCCAAAACTAGGCCTCTGCCCTCAAGAGCTAAATTGAAACATGTTTAAAAGGACTTTCTTTGCTATCATGTTCCCCACACACTGGCTTCCCATCTCTATGGTATAGAGGCTGAAACCTAAAAGAACAGGAAGCTGGATGATCAGAGTGGGAAAAGGACTTTAATTCTGAGTAAAGAAGGAGAAGGGCAGATATTTTGGGTAAGAGAGCAGAGTCTTGATTTAAATAGATTGAAATCATTTGGGTGAATATTGGAACTGAAAAAGCATTCTAAATGGGAAAATGCATGCTAATTTGATTATTCTTCTCTCTGAGAAGTCAATATGCTGCAATTTAAACAAGCCCAGAAGACATTTAGCAAAGGAGAAAAATCAGGGTGAACCCTTAGAAGACATATGTTTCTGGATTCCCTGAGTTAGTACTTGGTGCTCCCACGACACCATCACTGATGGTGAGGTTCTAGGAACAGGCTATATTTGAGAGGGAGCATGGGCACTCCCCTCACCATCTCTGATAATTACAAAATGTGTTCTATCCTACCATATGCAACACGGCATCGTCTTCTGTGGAGCAAAACAGACAGTCCAGGCTGCCTTTCTTGCCCATTAATCACAATGCCCAGTTAGGACATCATTGTACTTTAAAAGGGCTCTGTGAGGTCAAGAGAGGCCAGTGTGTAGAAGGAGAATCCTAAGCCTAGTAAGGTGGAGGTGCCCAGGTCAGGATGGCATTTCTCTGTTGTACCTCTCAAGAATGAATGGCTTGCCAGGCACAATGGTGCACACCTGTAATCCCAGCAGCTCAAGAGACTGAGAAAGGAGGATTGCAAGTTCAAAGCCAGCCTCAGCCATTAGCAAGGCCCTAAGCAACTTATTGAGACCCTATCTCTAAATAAAATATAAAAAAAGTGTTGGGGATGTGGCTCAGTGGTTAAGTGTCCCTGGGTTCAATTCCTGGTACAAAAAATATGGCTTTCTAAATACCACCAAGGCTAGATAATCTTAGAAATGGAAGATCAGGAAGAGCCTGCAGAGTCATTTCTAGGTCCTTCTCTTTCCTTCCTATCTTTGTCTCACAGTTTGCACAGAGATCACAAACTGGCAATTTACAAACAAGTTTTTCTTTTTAAAATGCTTGGCATTAGTTTCCAAGACTTGTAAGTTAGCAGATTTCATATAATTGAATATGATTTTATATAATATTTCAGGATTCTACCTCTCTAGAGAACTGAGGATTATCTGGCAAGAGCCAGCCTTCATTATAGCAAAGCCACAGTTAGATGGGACCAAGCAGCCACACTTGTCTTTAATAGAGTAGGAGTCCCTCATTTACCTTAGCTCTTGTCAGCACACTCTCTTTCTCCTTTACCTACAATATTTAGATAATCTTGTTAGGTCAGGGTAGGAATGACTTGGTTGAGTGACTAGTGGGCTTCCGGGGCCCTTCCAAGGGCCTGAGAACTATGACTATTATAGAAATTTGATCCAATCTCTGAACCCACACATGTAAATGAAGTACTTAAGTGGCTTTGTCATGAAGGAAATCAGGGTACATTGGAGAATCCAGCATGTTTGAGTGCCAATCTGGGTCTACCCTGAGTCACTGAGAAGGCTCAGTTTATCAGAAAGAAAAACCTTGCCTACTGATTTGAGATTTACTTGCTTCTAGAAGGGAATCCAGATAACACAGGATTACTTGAAGGTTCAAACTTGGATACTTTTTATACTCATCACTTTTTCTGTCTTTCCCAGAATCAACTTGTATGAGTTGATGAAGAGTAATAGCTTTCAAGGTTTCAGTCTATCGGTAGTTCGGCGCTTCACGCTCTCTGTATTGAAGTGCTTGCAAATGCTTTACGTAGAGAAAATCATCCACTGTGATCTCAAGCCTGTGAGTATAACCTCTGTCCTGCCAGGAGAGCAGGTTCTCTTTAGTGGCAGTTAGGGCAGCCAGCATGGCCAGGGCTTCCAGAGTGGCAGCCCTAAATTTCCTGCTTATAGGCTAAGTGAGATGCAGTGAAGCCTGAGGCACACATTTTGGAAGGACTAAGAGAGGTGTAGTGTACTTGAGGCAGCTAAGAACCAGAGGGGTTTCCTGCAGAAGTGGTAGGGGTGGGTGGTGGCTGTCTTGAGCATCAAGATGTTCCACAAGTAGTTGTGGGGGTCTGGGTTTACCCACTTTTGCCCTTTCAATCATTAGTCGCTTATAGTTCTTAAGAATTCTTGCTGGATTCTAGAGTTTTCCCTTATCTGTTCTGCAGAGGCTTGTGCCATTCACGAAGATGGATCATTCTACTACTCTGCTCTGCTAAGTCCTTACTAGATCCACTGTACTCTGTGTTGCTCCTCAGGTATGGCCCACCTCAGACCACTTCCTCTCCTTCAGTGGCTGTGCCCTTCTTACTTGTCATGCTAGTATTGTATTCTTAGCTCATTCTGTGTCTCCCACTGGACTGCAAGCTCTCCCAAGGTCAGACTGTTATGTCCCCAGGACCTAATATGGTGCCTGTGAGAATAATGGAAGGCAATAAATAAATGCTTGTTAAATGAGCCAATGATTGCCAATATGAAGAAGTAATACTATAGAGGTAGCTAAGGACAACATGTGAGGAACGCTCGTTCCAAAAGTAATCTGACCTTCACAAGGTGAATATCCCTTAAGTTCCTTACTCCCTTCTCTGCACCCCCAAACATGATTTAATTTTTTTAAACTGTTACTCATAAATAAAATTGAGGATATTTTTTGTAACTTAATATTGTAAAGATATGGGAGGACATTGCTTTGTTCTCCATTTCCAAATTCCTGACCTTTAGCTTTGCGGTTCCAAAAATTCACAATGCAAATGGTTCTTGGGCTTAGGGAAGTGACTTTCACCAAGGAAATCTGTAAGACA